AAAAAAAAAAAAAAAAGAAATGTAACTCCAGCTGCAATGCATCATGTTCTCAAAAGATAAAAATGAGTGATAATAATAGCATAAGCTAAACAATTAGAAAAGAAAATTATGGAGAAAAAAATCCATCCCAAAAGTAAATAGCAATAATTTGATCACTCATAGTTTGGGATTATTCATGCCATGACACTCCTCTGATACTATAGATGTTAGAAATATGGGCACTCCTCTCACAAATTTTTTATAAATTCACTCTATCAAATGCCTTTAGGAATCAGTCACTGTGAAGAAATTACTGCCTTTAACTATGTACAGAAAAGAATCAAACAAAAGATTTGAGGAGGCCAGAATGAATTTCCTGACCTTGTATAAACTGGATTATGTTTGTATGTGATGGCATTAGGTAAAAGAACAAAAGGTTTAATTCAGTGTATTTCTATCTGTACTCTTTATAAAATCTACCCATATACACCTTCAACAGCTGTAACAAAGTTTATTATTTAAAAAAGAATGTAGGAGGATTATGAGCAAGAGGAGACATGAGGAGGTTTCTGTGATGCAGCAACATTCCTTGTCTCGATCTGGGTGATGAGTACTTGATATGGTTACTACATTAAAAATTCTTTGAAGTCTACACACTTATGATCAGTGCACTATGGCTACGTTACATCCCAATAAAAAGTTTAAAAAAAAAAAAAAAGGAAGAAGCCCTAAAATACATGGAGGGAGCAAGAGAAAACACAGAAAATGGAGAGAGGGTTACAAAGAGAATGACTAGAATGAACGTACAATATGGAAAGAAAAATAGTTGCCTGCATTTAGTTTCAAGAAGAATGCTCTTGATCACAAAGTTATGTGAATATTTTCTAAAACATCTTCATTTTACTTTCTGTTATTAGGAAAGATCGAACATTTTCTTTGCCCATCTAAACCCTGCTCATTTATCCCAATCTCTTACCTGCTTTGGATAAAAATAAGCTCATTCCACCAGAGCCTGAGCCAGCTTCCAAAACAGTATCACCTGGGTGGATATCCATCATCGACAGTATCATATTCATATCCTATGATTGAAACACAGTATAGGTGACTCAGTGACCAATAAATATGTACTAAGTACACACTCTTACCAAACACTGTGTTGGACTCAGAGAAGAAAGGTGTGAAAAAAAAGGATTAAACTCTGGTCCAGTCTACCAAGAGCTTATATTTTACTTGATGAAATAAGAGATTCAAGAATTGGTTAGTAAATAAAGCAGCACTTTAGCATAACACCAAAATTACAGACATTAAGTAACAATAGGAGTTCAAAGAACAGAGAAATCAGCAGAAGGCCCTCACTTAAAAGGTGTAGAGAATTTAAGGAAACAATCATGAAGTAGAACCGGTATGACCATGACTAAAAACTGAAATAAACCACTAGCAATGGACGATTATGATAAAACTATAACAAGGAACCTTAGGAAGTTCATTTATTTATAAAGAATATCTTTTATGTTTAGTGTTCAGTGTCAAATGTTTTAATACAAAAATTTTTTCTCTACAGAGAAAAAGCATTACCCCTAGTAACATGGCTTATTAAATGATGATTAAAATATCTCCATATGGTACTAAAAGAGTTGAACATTCTCGAGTCCTGAATTTGCAAACTTAATGGTTATGGGAAACAAATATAAGTACTTATTAGTGCCTTGTTAGTCCACATTACTCTGTATAGTAAGTCAATATTCTTTTCACTTTGCAGATGAGAGAACTGACACTCCGAAATTAAAATTAAAGGTGACGGTTTCCTCCTAAAATTAGCAATCATAAGATATGCAAAGTTCATATGCATTGTTTTATTTTATTATTTTTTTAAGTCTGAGAACAATTTAAATGTTCTGAGATGTGCTTTTTTTTTTTTTTTTTTTTTTTTAATGTTTATTTTTGAGAGAGAGAGAGCATGAGCAGGGAAGGGGCAAAGAGAGGGAGACACAGAATCCAAAGCTGGCTCCAGGCTCTGAGCTATGAGCACAGAGCCCCACGCGGGGCTCAAACCCACTACCCCTAAGATCACGACCTGAGCCAAAGTCGGAGGCTTCAACCGACTGGGCCACCCAGGCGCCCCTGAGATGTGCTTTAAGTACATGAATCAGGACTGCAGTTCCGCATCCGTTTTGTTCTTTCTGGAACCAGTACACACTTAATTCCCACCGCATTACCTTCGGATATGTTATGGCAGGCCCTCTTTTCATCAGTAATACATAGTCTTCCAACGCCGGCCTCCTCAGCATGAAGTGCTTCCCAGAGGAACTCCTCAGTATCTGGCCGGGAAACTTCCCCACGATCTCGCTGAACGGGACTGTCCCCCAGCTACTATTTAAGTGTCCGGCGTTACTCAACCTAAATAATTTTTTAAATTGTGTCTCTCTCTTCCCCGTCTCGGCTAAGATCAGCTCCCCAGCGCGAAAGGGCCCCTCTCTGGAAGTCGACCGGGAAGAGGAGCCATGAAGCTCTTCTACCTCGGTCCCGGACTGGGCCAGGGAGGGCGGCAAGGGACCCCCGGCTCCCCGGTGGGCGGGACCGGGCTGGCCCTGGTCTCCGCTCGAGTCCTCGCGCTCTTGAGGGGGTGACTCCTCTCGTGGCGTCGGCAGTCTGAGGCTTTCCAGCGACGAAAGACGTCTGGTCCCAGTGCCTCGGACGCGCGGAGGGAGAGACGGAGGCGACTCTGTGCCAGGAGCTTTCCTCCGTGCCGCTTCGCGCCGTCCCTCTCCATCCCGTGCGTCTCTAGGGGAGGATTCGCAACACAGTGACCGGGCTGTCTCCAAAGGCTCTGGCACAAGGCCGCGCAGGAAGGAGAAGGTCGTGAGCCCAGGCCACCCCCGAAGGAGCCGCAGCCGTACGAAGCCCAGACCTCGCCGCGCGGCAGGCAGCATGCTCTCCAGCGCAGGCGCCGTCGCACACAGTGACGTGAGGCCGTTCGAGGCCCTCTCGCGGCCACACGCGCTGACGCAGCCGCCGCTGAGTGTCCGCAGCTTCTTCGCAGGAAGAGCTCTGCGACTGCGCGTGCGTGCAGAGGGGCCGAGGAGGCCCCGGTGTCGGGGCCCCCGGGTGTCGCTGAGTTAACGGTCTCTGGAGCGAGTCGCACTCCCGCGCGGGGGCCCATTTTCCTCCTCGGAATGTGGGCCAAGTAAACAGTTGACCGCTGACCCATTCCGCCAGCCTCACCCCGGGGACAGGAGGCTTACGAGAGACAAAAGCGGTCAAAGCGCTGTGTAAACTGAAGTCCTGCACCAGCGTAGGCTCACTAGCCTTCAGGAACACTAACGTCACCTGGTCACCCCCAAGATGTCGGAGGAAAAAGCCCAGAGATGCGTTTGGCTGGCGGCGTTTGGACGGGCCATCCGCTGACCCGCGTTCTTTCCCTGACCGCGAAGTCCTTCCCCACCCCCTCACCCCCAACCCTAGCAAGTCCCTTGGACCGGGCTCTGACCCTCTGCATGCCTGCCCCAGGCCCAGGGAGTCCCGAAGGGCCGATTAAAGTGATAGTTGTCACTGTGTGCTTATTTAGCAGAATTGTTTTTGATAATTAAAATATAACAATTATGTTACCACCCCTAAAACTAAGTAGAATCATCTTTAAGGGTGGAAAAGGTCATTGCTAAAATAGGGTTGTAGGGTACAGGGATATTACAGGCTGAATTTAATCCCTTCAGGATTCATATAGCGCGGTCCTAATCCCCAGTACCTCAGAATGTGACTGTATTTGGAGATAAGGTTAAAGAAACAATTAAGTTAAAAGGAAGTCACTGGGGGGTGGGGGGTGAAGTCATTAGGGGGTGGGACCTAATTCACTATGAGTGGTGTCCTTACAAGAAAAGGAGATTAGAACACAGGAACTCAGGGAAGACCAGCTAGACAGGCAGCAGAGGTCCATCTACAAGCCCAGGAGAGAGTCCTCAGAAGCAACCAAACCTGCCCACAATTTGACCTATGTGTTCCAGAACTGTGAGAAAATAAATTTCTGCTGTATAAGCAAAAAAAAAAAAAAAAAAAAAAAAAAAAAAAAAAAAAAAAAAAAAAAAAAAAAAAAAATGCATCGACTGGATTTTTGGATTCTTTTTTATTGGATCTCTTTAAAAATCATTTATTCAGGTTTTGGCACCCTACCCCAAAAGAATGAAATAAAAATAAATTTATTTAATCCTAAAACCAAAACAAAACCAGGAAAAGGTTATCTTTGGAGTCCAAGGTCTAATTTGACATTAAATGTCACTAACTTGTTAATTAATTTAGTTGGTAAAAGTTTACTGAGGGTTTGACAATACCAAGCATGTTGGATATTTTACTGATTTAACTTTACAACAACACTGTGTTAGAAATAAGTATTCCTCCTTTATGCATAAGAAAACTGACCCAGGGAGGTTAAATTATTTGGGCAAGGTGCCAAAGCTGACAAGCGGCATGACAGGGTTTCTGACCTAGGTCAGTCTGCTTCAGCAGTTCACGCTCTTTGTACTGTAACACCCCTTCCCAAAAACTGGTTAACAGTACAATTGAATTTAGAATTCAAGTCAAAATATGCCCAAAAGGCTATGAATTCAGTTTCAGTTTGATAAAAGAAGTCTTTTTGTTGCTTTTGAAGACAAATTAAAACTTTCTAAACTGTGCTTTCTAAAACATCAGCCACCACAAACTCCATTATCAGGTTTCTCTCTTTCAGTCCTGAAAATGAATAAAGAAACTGCTCTGACCCTCCACCCCAACTGTTCGTCTCACTTCTGTTTTTGATTTGTTTGTTTTGATTTGGTTTTAAGGAAGTTTTCTTGTTTTGTTTGTTTGTTGAGAGAGAGAGAGAGAGAGAGAGAGAGAGTAGGGGGGCAGGGAGGGAGAAGGGCAGAGGGAGAGAGAGAATCCCAAGCAGGCCCCACACTCAGTGCAGAGCCCCACTTACCGCTCTCCATCCCATGACCCTGGGATCATGACCTGAGCCAAAATCAAGAGTTGGACGCTCAACTGACTGAGCCGCCCAGGCACCCACCTATGTTTTTTAAGAAAGTTTCTATGATTTTAAGAAATCTTTTTATTATTACTCCCAAATGAGGGCCTGGGTTGGAACTGTCTGAATCCTAAGCCCTACCGATGGTTTTAAAATTTATCATTCCTGCTTTATTATCTCTTAAAGATGATTAAATTGTATTTGGCTGTTATTTCAGAAGGAGTAGGGCTTGGAAAGAAGAAGATATAATGACAGAATATGGGAAATAAGTTTACATATCTTTGATTTCTAACATAAACTGTAAAAAGCAAATAGCACCCCTTTTTATTATTTGAATAAGACACAATGTTATAAATCTTTGTCCTACACACATCTAATGAAATACATTAACATATGTTGAAAAATACAATTAATCCTTATTAATTGATGATCTTTCAGAGCATTTAAGCTCTCAAAAAGTCACTATGTGTGCCTTTCTGTTTTTGACTATCCTTTTCCCTTTCCTTCCGTCTTCCCTAGGAAACTGTCAGCCTGTACTCTGAAACTATTCTCTGACAATATGAGGCATCATCAACTCATATTTATAAGGCCAGTGTCATTTAGTCAAGCAATTACTTTAAAGTCCAAATAGCTTTCAAGAAGTACTGTGGCTGATGGCTAACATCTTAAAATCTCAAGTCGAATTAGACCATCAGTTCTAATTCCACCAATGTTCTCCTCTACCTCTTTGAGTGTGCTTCTTTCCTCTCTTTTGTATAATTTTCCCTCATCCTTCAGGTATCAACCTCACCAGAATGGTGGCTTATAATAACTCCAAAACACTGGGAGAAGTGACTCTCCTATGTGTTCCTGGTATATATCCTGTCTTTAGACCAAACCCTGCATGGTGCATGTCAGATTAAATAAAATCACTGTTTATTTACCATTTCTGAAGTTAGAGGATAAGATTGTGGAGAGGATTGTGTCTAACTCATCATTATAATTCCATTGCCTGTCATAGTGCCTGGAACCCAATGTGCCCTCAATAAATATTTGTTGAATAAATGATTGAAGAAAGTAGGAAATGAGAAAAACAGCAGCCCTGATACCTAGGTGCCTATACTAAATAATTCAGCACGTAAATATGGTCCAAATATATTTAATAGTTGTATGTTTTATTCTGTATCTTTACATGTACTTAGCTTTTACTAGAACTGCTGAAGTTCATGATTTTTTTAAAACTGATTTTTAGCAAAACATAAAGTATCTAAATCTGAGAATATAACTGCTTTTCTCTTGCTTTTTCATGTGTTTCCCCCTGTTGCTGCTGAACTTGAATCTGGATTCTGTAAAACTCCTCTAGGATATACTGTTGTGTATTAGAAATTGAAGGAGTCAATTGAAGGAGGTCAAAAGATACAAACTTTTAGATATAAAATAAATAAATCCTGAGGATGTAATGTACAACATGGTGACAATAGTTAATATTACGTTGCATATTTGTAAGTTGCTAAGAGAGTACATCTTAAAAGTTCTTACACTGTCTCGATATTATAGCTTTATTGTAAATTTTGAAATCAGGTAGTAGGAGTACGCCAATTTGTTTTTCTTTTAGATAATTGCTTCGCTTTGCATTTCCATATAAGGATTAATTTACCAATTTCTACAAAAAGTCCAGCTAAGGAGCACCTGGGCAGCTCAGTCGGTTAAGTGTCCAACTCTCGGGTTCAACTCAGGTCATGATCTAGTGGTTGTGAGTTCAAGCCCTGTGTCAGGCTCTGTGCTGGCGGTGTGGAGCCTGCTTAGGATTCTCTCTCTCTCTCTCTCTCTCTCTCTCTCTCTCTCTCTCTCACCCTCTCTCTCTCTGCTCCTTCTGCATGCACACTCTCTCAAAATAAATAAATAAACATTAAAATATTCCTGATAAGATTTTTGTAGGGATTATTGAATTTACAGAGCGAATTGAGTACAATTACTATCTGGACAATATTGAGTTTATCAGTTCATGAATATGCAACGTCCTTCCCTTTATTTAGGTCTCCTTTAAGTTTTCTCAGCAATGTTTTATACTTTTTAGAATACAAGTCTTGAACTTTTGTTCATTTTTCCCCCAGGTATTTTTTCTGTTGCTATTGCAAATGGAGTCATTCTCAATTTAATATTGATTGTCTATTGATAGAATGTAGACATACAATTGATTTTTATATGGATCTTGTATCTTGAGACCTTGCTACATTGATTTATTAGTTTTAGAATTTTTTGAGGATTCTTCAAAATTTTCTATAAGTCATCTGTGAATAAAAATACTTTTATTCTTTCCTCTCCAATTTGGATGGTATTATTATTATTATTATTATTATTATTATTATTAACTTTATTGCAATAGGTGGAACCTTCAGTAAATATTGAATAGAATTGGTCAGAATGGACAGAATTAACTTTTCAATCTTAGGAGGAAAGCATCAATCTTTCATCATTAAGTATGAAGTGAGCTGTAGGTTTTTTTTTAGATTCCCTTTATCAGATTGAGGATATTCCCTTCTGTCCCTACTTTGTTAAAAGTTTTTTTTTTTTTTTTAATTATCAATCGGTGTTGGATTCTGTTAAAATCTTTTTCTTCATCAAAAAATGTTTTTCTGGGGCGCCTGGGTGGCGCAGTCCGTTAAGCGTCCGACTTCAGCCAGGTCACGATCTCGCGGTCCGTGAGTTCGAGCCCCGCGTCAGGCTCTGGGCTGATGGCTCAGAGCCTGGAGCCTGTTTCTGATTCTGTGTCTCCCTCTCTCTCTGCCCCTCCCCCGTTCATGCTCTGTCTCTCTCTGTCCCAAAAATAAATAAACGTTGGGAAAAAAAAATGTTTTTCTTTATCTTTCAAGATTATCATGCATTTTTTTTCTTTTTTTTTTTTAATTTTTTTTTAACGTTTATTTATTTTTGAGACACAGAGAGACAGAGCATGAACGGGGGAGGGTCACAGAGAGAGGGAGACACAGAATCTGAAACAGGCTCCAGGCTCTGAGCTGTCAGCACAGAGCCCGACGCGGGGCTCGAACCCACGGACCGTGAGAGCATGATCTGAGCCGAAGTCGGACGCTTAACCGACCGAGCCACCCAGGCGCCCCTTATCATGCATTTTTAATCCTTTATTCTGTTAACATGGTATATTACAGTTACTGATTTTTGAATGTTAAGCCAACCTTACATTCCTGGGATAAATCCCATTTGATCATGGTCTTTAATCTTTTTTATATATTGCTGACTAGATTTGCAAATATTCTGTTAAGGATTAGAGACTGATAGGATCTATCACTTTGTAGGATAAAAAGAATTAGTTAAAAGTCGAATTGTTAGTAAATTCAATGAAGGCCTGGAATTGGGGCAGAGAGAGGATTAGAAGAGCTTAAATTACAGGCAGAGCAAAAGAGCAGGACCTATAACAAGAATGATAAGGGCAGGAAACCGGAAGCAGGTCAGGGTTTAGTGATGTTTGAGACCATCCACAGTGAATGATGATATTGGGGAGGGTGACAGGGACCAGATTACAGATTGTCTTGTAATGCACATATATTAAACAGCATAGAGTTTCTTCTGTAGGTGCCAGCAAGCTTGTGGAGGGTTTCAAGTGGAGAAGTGGAATGGCCAGGTTAATAATCTACAAAAATCGTAGCACTGAGACCAGCGTGGAGAAAGGGAGTCTAATACAAGCAGTGGTGGCAGTTCCAGTGGGAGACATAAGGCTCAGATAAGAACAGAAGTGGTAGAATTGGATGGAGATGAGGAAATTGAATGGAGAATTATTTAAGAGATAAAATAGGATCTGATGATTGATCAGATATGTATATGTGTTTGGGTAGAAGTGAGATGTGGGACTGGGTAACAGGTGGCTTTCTGACTTTCTCCAGTGGCTAACTGGATAGTTGATGGTATCATCAGCTGAGGCAAAGGATATAACAGAATGAGCACAATTAGGTTCGGCTGCATGTGACATAACCCAAAATACTGTAGTTTAAACAGCAGGGTAGTTTAATTTTCTCTTGTATAAAAGAAGTCCAGGCAAGGTGGCCCAGAGCGTATATCATGCTTCAGGGTTTCTAGATCCTTCTATCTTGCTGCTCTGCTATTCTTAGCATGTCGTTTTCTCCTCAAACTCCATCATGGATGCTCTAACTTTTGGCCATCATATTTGAGTTCCAGGAATTAAGAAGGAAAAAAAGCAATGAATAATAGCAAGCCCTGTCACTTTAAGGACATTTTGTACTGGCCTATAGTCACATGGTCTCACAGTTTGCAAAGAAAGCTGGGAGACGTACTCTTTATTCTGGAAAGTCACATGCCCAGGTAAAGAAGTGCCCCAAGGCACCCTGATGTTAGAGAGTGGGAGATAAGGAAGATCCAGGAGAGAAGACAGAGAAGGGGAGCCCGAGAAGCAAGAGGAAGCCAGAAGGGTGTGATGCCACGGAAGACAAGCATGCTGATGATAAGTCATATGAGATTCAGACTTACAACGGACACATATTTAGCAATGTAGAGGTTACTGTGCCCTTACTGAGAATTTTGGCATAGTGATGGGTTGGAATGAAAATCCCGTTAGAGGAGAGAAATCAGAGGAGAGAGATTAAGAAAATTAGATTACTTTTTTTTTTTTTTTAAGGAAAGAAAAGATTGGGACGGTGCCTTTGGGGGAAGTGAGGTAAAGGGAATTTTATTTTTTAGGAAGAAAGAAATAACAGCATGTTTATATGTTGATGAGAAGGATTAAGTTGAGAAGTAAGATTAATGCTGGTAGAGAGAGGAAAGACGTTTTGGAATAATGAGATCTATAACTTATGTGGAGGGGTAGCCTCTGCTAGGAGCATGGACAATTCATCCATAGTGCCAGGAGTGACAGGCACAGGTCAGTTAGAGTTTGTGGTACCGGAAGCTTGTGGAAGTTCTCTTGTGATTGCTTCTCTTTTCTCAAAAAATAGAAGCAAAGTCATCCACTGAGAGCAAGGAGGATGGAGTTTTGAGATGGTAGGAGAAGATAAGAATTAGTGTCTAGGAGAGTGGAAGTGTGAATGGACTCGGGAACAATTGAGAACCTGGCAGCATTGACTTCCCACGTGAAGCTTGTGACCATGAATTTAAAGTGCATAAGAGTCATAATAGGTGGCTGTGACTTTTCTCTAGTTACTTTCAGCTGCTTTGGGGGGAAGAGTTAGGTTTTACCAGGTTTGCAGTTTTACCACGGAAGGACTATGATGTGGGAAAGAGGCAAGGGATTTGAGGGTTGTAATCGTAGACTTTAAGATAAATTAAGGGGGCAACTGGGTGGCTCTGTTGGTTAAGCATCTGACTTCTGCTCAGGTCATGATCTCATGGTTCATGGGTTTGAGCCCCATGTCAGGCTCTGTTCTGACAGCTGGGAGCCTGAGCCTGTCATCTGTTTTCAGAGGTCTCTGTGTCTCCTCTCTCTGCCCCTACCCTGCTCGCACTCTGTCTGTCTCTCTCTCTCAAAAATAAACATTTAAAAACTTTTTAAAAATTAAAAATATATAAAAATATAAATTAAGAGGAAGGAGCAGCCCTTAAGGAGCTGGAGGGAGCAAGCCTTCCGGAAAGATAGGAGTTAATGGTTAGAGAGTGGTGTGGGAAAATTGAGATTAGGAAGGGGGTGCAGCTATTGTAATGATAAGGTCTGAGACGCGACCATGAGAGGTAAGGTAGATAAGATCAGGGGCTTGCATGAAGTCGGTTAAGCTGCTGTCCGGACCAGCCAGGTCACGACCTCCGCCGGTTAGAGTTCGAGCCTCCGCTGGCCAGGCTCTTGGCTGATGGTTCGAGCCTGGAGCCTGCCTCGATTCTGTGTCTCCTCTCTCTGCCCCTCCCCGTTCATGCTCTGTCTCTCTCTGTCCCAAAAATAAGTAAAAAAAAAAAAAAAAGTTAAAAAAAAATTAAAAAAGAAAAGGAGGAGGTCAATGAATGATATTTTGGGTATTGAAGGGTCATCAACCTGAGTTTTATATAGTCTCATTGGGTCAAATTGTTTATACTCAAAGATGGCTTAGTTAGAAATCCAACTCCTCCTTTACTGCTCAGCTCTATACCTCAGTTTTGTTACCTGAAAAATGGAGATGTTCATAGTTTCTACTTCTTAGGGTTGTTGTGAGGACTGAATGGATTAATGCACACAAAATACTTAGCATAGTACCTGACACATGGTGAGTGCACAACAAGCTTTTATTTTTACTTGTATATTTGTGACTGACTAATCTATAACTCTAGCTCAGACTTTTCTTCATACAGATTTATATATGCTCCTTTACAACAAAGTCCTTGAAAACGTTTCTGAAAATCCCTTTTCTGCACTTTCTCACCTCCTTTTTTCTTTCTCACCCTCTACACTAAGTCTCCCACCCCAAATGCTTTTGTTTTGTTTTTGAGAGAGAGAGAGAGGGCGCAAGTGAGCGAGGGGCAGAGACGGGGAGAGAGAGAATTCCACAAGGGGCTGAGAGGGAGAGAGAGAGAAGCGGGGCTCACCCAAGTGGGACTTGTGCTCACCAGATGCAGGGCTCAAACTCACTTAAAGTGGGGCTCTAACTCACAAACTGTGAGATCATGACCCTAGCCCCCAAGTCTGATGCTTAACTGACTGAGCTACCCAGGTTCCTATTGATTTGATTTATTTTAAAGTAGTTTTCACACCCAACGTGGGGCTTGCACTCATAACCCTGAGATCAAGAGTTGCATGCTCTACCTTCTTGGCCAGGCACCCCTCAACTGTTTTTGAAAAGTCACCAACGCCCTTGATCTTGCCAAATCCTGGTTCGTTTTCAGTCTTCATCTTACAATCTTTGACATGTTTTTGATCAGTTTTGCTTCCTAAATCCTTATAAAGATTTGGTTTCCAGGGCATTTCATTCTCTTGGGCTTTCATCCTACCTGTTACCCATTCTTCATCTTCTTTGCTGGATCTTCCTCCTCTTCCTGACCTCTGAAGGTTGGCACATTTTGGGGCTAAGTTTTCTTTTCTATCTGCACTTATACCCAAAATGCTCTGACTAGTCCCACAGTTTCAAAAAGCATTTGTATGCCAATGCATCCAAACTTCTATCTCTGTGATCTTCTCTTATAGCCAGCTCCTCCTGAACAACTCTATTTGGAGGTACAATAGGCATATCATACTTAACTGTCCAAAACAGAACTCTTGATTTCCACTCCAACCAAACCCGTTTCCCCAATCCAGCTGATGGAATCACCATTTAGTAGTTTGTTCAGGCCTTAGAATCATCTTTCACCTGTCTTTTTCTTACCCTTTGCAATCATTTAGCAAACCTGGTTGGCTCTAATTTCAGGTTACATGTGGAATTTGGTCATTCTCCCCACCTTTACTGCTTTCATCTGAGTCCAGCCCACCAGTGTCCTTCTGTATTGTGTGTCTGCTTTCATTCTTGCCTCTCTTACATCTCCATCCAGAGGCCAGGAGGCCTTTTAAGAAATGTAGATCTGTTTGTTATTCCAAATAATCTAAAACGCAAATGTTACCTTGGCACTCCCTGTTTGTAAAGCTTCAGAGTCTTCCTATATCCCTGAAGGTGGTGTTTTTTGTCTTTACCGCTAGGCAATAAGCTGTGTGGGCTGAATAATATCTGGCATTTCTTGAATTAGAATGCATTGATTTGTTGAAACATTCTGGAGTCATTACAAATTGTCTATTTGATGTAGTAACATGGGATTAATCCTGACGAAATAAGCAGCTCCTACTATTACTTTTACACTATGATGTCTGAATAAACTACGTGTCTTATGTGTGCACATGATTATAGCGTGGAAGTGGATAAGAAAAAATGAAAACAAATGTCACAATCATGGAGTTATGTGATTATTTCTTCTAAACATTGAGTTCAATCATGTTATAATTAAAAAAAAACAACAAACCCAAACCTTTTTCTTTCTTCTTTTTTTTTGAAAAGAAATGTCCCGCTCTCCAGTCTGCGGTCACGTCCCTCCACAGTCCCCTCCCCCGCAGTATAAGTTAGCCTTGGGCCCTCCGGGCCACCGTCCACAGGCTGGGTCCGCCCAACGCTTGCTCAAGACGCGAGGAGCCGCTCCCTCGGCTGTCTACGCTCCCTCCTCCCGACTTCCTCCCTCCAGGCCCCGCCCCGCGCCGGTGCGCATGCGCACAGACGAACACGTGGCTGCCGCGGAGCCAGGGCAGCAATGGCGGCGGGCGGCCGTGGTGTTGCAGACCCCCTGTCCCCGGCAGGGGTTCCTTGCGCCTTCTCCCCGCTGAACCAGGCCTACTTCGCTTTGGCGTCTGCCGACGGTCAGTTGCGAGTGTGGGAGACAGCCAACAATAGGCTGCACCAAGAGTACGTGCCTTCCGCGCACCTCAGCGGTACCTGCACCTGCCTGGCCTGGGCGCCAGCGCGGCTGCAGGCCAAGGTAAAGCAGGCGGGACGGCGGGGGGCGGGCGTCCGCCCGGACTCGGCCTCAGTGCACCCTCGGCCCCACGGCGCGTGGCCCGGCAGCTCGCGCGGCCCTGCGAGGCCCGGGGCGAGGAGGCACAGAGCGTGGCGGCGGCGGCGGCGGCGCGGACTCCATCCACTTCGCCAGTCCCGTGTGCGGCCTGTCCACAGGGTAGCGAAAGAGGGCGCGGCTGGATCCGATGGGCCGTTGACTGGAGTCCCACGACTGACTCCATGCGGTCTGTGCCCCGCGCCCCGCTGTCGTCGGGGCCGCCATGTTCGCATAGGCCCCCGGTCCCCCAGGGCGGCTTGCTTCTGCCAAGCCTCTCGCATCAACATGTGCTCTTCAGTGTCTTGGCTTTTGACAGAGTCCCTCCTTGGGACTGTACTGTTCTTTTCCGATTCCTCTAGTTCATCGGCTTTGCCTTAGGCGATTGGAATGAGTGAGTCTGTTTCCTTGCTTCCGGACACCCCCCCTTCCCCCCCCCGCCCCAACCCTTGGGTGCAGCTCACCACGTGTTCTCTTCCACGTCCAGTGTGTGGGACTCTCACTCTTGAAACTCTTGACTTTCCCAGGTTTGTTTCCATTCTAAGTATTTTGAAACTATATGCTTTTTTATTTTTTAACATCTCAATTTCCCCTTTATACACCCTTTTTAAACCAAGTCTGAAGTCTGCTATAGGATGTGGAGGTAAAGTGAAGTGGCCGGTTTAATTTAATGAATGTCAATCCAGGTGAAGTTTTTTTAGATGGGACACTGCCGAGTTAGGGAAGGCTTTTCACTGTTAGGGCCCCATCTCAGGTAAGATGCCACTCACTGTTTAGTCACTAGACTACGTCTGCTCTAACTCACATGCACGTGGGTACTACAGGTATAGAGTAGTCAAACGGAATCATTCTAACGTGATATGGAAGCCTCAGGTATCGTGTTTAGCTGACACTATGGGTAAAACTTCAAAAGCTAGTATTTAAGACAGAGTTTTAACTCCATCTGACTACCGTGGGGAGCTTTCTGTTAAATTTTTAGGTTGAAAGTAGGGGTACATCTAACTATGCTTTGGATGAGTATATTTAGGTATTTTTCAGATCTTAAGATAGCTTTTCATAGTTTCTAGATGAAGTGACTTTAGTTGATTATTAAAAGAAACCTTTTTGGGGCTCTTAAGGTGAACTCAGACTCTTAAAAAAAAATCATAGGCATCATTGTTAAAGTTAGAGCAATCTGCATAATTTTCCTTTTCAAAATTATTTTCTATGTTTCTATCTTAACAGTCCTATAAAGAGATGACAATATTCATGCTGAGGGAAAATCTGGAACAATGATTGGATGCATGGATCCAAGCTCTACTGCTTACATTTAATCTAGGTTTGGCTTCATAGTAATTCAGTAGTTTTTATACCTCTGATTCATCATTGGTAAAACAGGGGTGATAATACCCACCTCATAGAATGGTTGTGAAGGTGAACATGTTTAATAACACATAAGTATTTAGAATAATGTAAGTGCTACAACCACTGGTCATTATTGATATCTCATGTTTGTATGGTTAGTCCTGGCAGGGAAAGATTAACTTTTTGTCTTGTGAAGAAGAAACTGAGGCTCTGGAAAATTAAGCAACTTGCAAAAAACCAAAAACAGAAATAGAACTCAGGTATTTAGGGCTTAGTTCTCCATTATCTACAACAAATAGTTAATATTAGGTTGGCAGAAGTTTGTTGCCTGCCCCCATCCCTCTTTGCCTCACCCCCCTTTGATTTTCTGTTGACTTAAGTCACATTCTGTGCCTCAGGAATAAAACTTTGGCCTAGTTACAAATTTCCTGTTGAAAGTCATAGTTTTAAGTTATGTATACCAGTCTGATATAGAAAAATATCTGAATTTGGTTTCATACCCAGGACTCAACTCAAATTTGGCTTTTGTCACATTGAGCAAGTCACTAGTTTGGAAGGCTTAATTGAAAAATGAGAGTTTGGCTACTTAAAAGTTTTTGTAGGCTTCAGTATCCTTTTATCTGTATGCTCTTGTTTTAGCCACATAACTTTGTGAAATGTTTTGAAATAAGATTTTTAAGAACAGAATCAGAACTAAGAAAATTCAAGTGACTTCACTGAAGCTTTAATAACCAAAGAAGAGATTGTGGCCACCAGAGTTGAGGTACTCTGACTCCTTGTCCACTTTTCTCACGCGGTAACCCTAGATCTTGAGTCACAGAATTGAGAACTTGGAGGAATGTAGAGACATCCAGTCTTTGTCATATTGGAGATGTATCCTTCTAGAACATCAATTTTACTTGAAGATGAGAGGGGAGAAGCAGTTTTCTTGAATGCGCACACATATTTTGGGGTAAAATAAAGTCACATAATTTTTTAAAGCTAGAAAATGATTAGTGATTTATAGCAGCTGCTTCAGTCCATGCTCCCAGGCCCCTGGGTTATGATCTTTGTCACTTAAGTTTTAAGATGTTCTCATCTTAAACCCTTCCATTTCCCATCTTTGAGGATTAGAGTATGAGGCTTGAAATGATGTTATTCTGAAGCCAGTGTTCCCAGCATGTTAACGTTTTTGGCACTCAAATCTGAAGTGGAGATTATGCCACACACCTTTCAGAGTCTTCAGAGAATTATATGACTGCTGTAGTAAGTGCTCAGTAAATGTTAATTGTTATTGAATGCTTCAGTTAGCATTCTCTGTGGGCTCATTTTACTATTTACTGCTAACATTCCTCTGTAAATCATTTTGTAATGGTATCTTGTATCTGGTTCAGTGATTGGCAATTTGCCACCCAAAGACAAAGTTTGGTGGCATTACTACTGAGTGGAGAAAAATGAGTTGGTGCTGGGTTGCTTGGGTAACAAGAATTAAAGCAGTACTTCGTAAATGTTTAGAATAATCGGATTGCTCTTTCTTGTTCTTGGTCACAGAATGATTCTAATACCTCACATGCCACAGTAGTGTTTGGAGGGTTTTTGTACATGTTATATAGCTGAGCATTTCATTTGGTTGATGGGGCCTGGGGGAAGAGGACCTCTAATGAGGATAAGCAAAGTGCAAGAAGACAGACTGATGGACTATCGACAGATGGCTGTTTTTACAGCTCCTCAGGTGTACGTGTGTAAACTGAGGCGGAGATGTTATGCCAAAGCCACGGAGGAAGTGGCTGAGCCACCTAGTAACTGACCCTGGTATTTCATTGCCCCCTTAAATCTCTCAAACTTCTCTACTTTTCCTTCCCTAGCTGATGTACAGCTCTGAAGAAACAGGCCTTGTCGACTGTTAGCTACCACAGGAAATGTGTTTATGCTCCTTTGCTGTCACTGCAGTTAAAATGGTCTCACGCAGCTTAGTACTTGTTGAACGAAACACATGGATTTCAGCCATGAGACAGGGCAAGCACAGTAGCATTAAGAATGTTTTTAGCAAGAATCTGAGCTGAGTATTCCCATTCTCATCCCTTGGAGATGTAGTACAGTCTGGTTGTGTTCCTGCATGATGCTCTATCTTAGGGTCTCTCCAGTATTTGAACTTGAAAACAAGGTAAAGTTTGCAGATGAGATCCTGTTGACAGGAATAGAAGTTCCTGTGTATTAGAATTTAAGTGTTTTTGATATAAAGACTGTATGTAATTATTTGTATAAAATGCACACATTTTGTTCACTGTTATCTTATGAAACCTAAACATTTGCCAGAGAAATGATGATAAGATAGGCCAAGAAAAGGCCTAGGAGACTAATTGCAGAATGAAACTTGAAACTTTGGCATAATTTTTGGTGTCTGGAGGTCAGAATTTTTCAAAAATAGTTTTGATCCATTAGTGGATTGTGAGACAGATTAGTGGGTTGTGATAGTGTTAAATGAAATAGACCATCAGAGTGTGTTTTGCTTGGGAAAGGATATGGTTTTTGTGGAACTTGTTTCGCTTACGTATATGTATTTTTATGAGTGTGTGTACTGGCTGTCCATGTAAACTCTTCTTACTCTGGGATCTCAGTCTAAAACGTCATTGCTTAATTGGTCAAATTCAGACTTCTCATCAATGGATGTGCTTTTTTCCTCTGTTTTTCACATCTGCCCTGTCTTGATTTTGTAAATCCTGCACATATGTTGGTGACACTCTCACCCAGCCTTTTGATTGCCTTTTGGATCAAATGCTGATAAACTTTTTCAGATTGGTGCTGCTCTTTATTGTTTAGCTCAGTCAGACTTTCAACATTGAAAAAGACTCTGTAAGAAATCACATTTTTTTTGGGCTTAACTCTTGGTACCCCCAGGAACTCCCAATTTTCCAATCACAAATATGAATTAAAGTAGCCTACCCTTTTCATTACTTTAATTATATGTAAATAATGAGTGTGCACATGACATTGCGTTAGGCACTTTAGAGGAAGTAAAACTGAGTATGACTGAGACATCAGGGAAGAAATGGACAATTCAGATGTGCAGTGTCTGTAATGCAGAGCACAGTATGATGTGTGCCTTAAGGGAAAGAAGAGATTTTTGTGGAGAGATGAGAGTTGAGGTGGACCTTGAAGCATGGATAGATTTTTAACCAGGTAAAAATTGAGGTGAGCAGGAAAAGACCCCTCCAGGTTCAGGGAAAAGCAGAAGCAAAATGGGAAAGTGTTAGTGATTGGTGTAATGTAAAGATGGAATTAGAAATAAGGTTGGAAAAGGTGGGTTGGAGGCAAATGGCAGATGCTTTTGAATACAAGTTGTTTATATTGATTTACTGTTCTCTGGGGAATCATTGAAGTTTTTGATCACAGGAGCAACAGGTTCAGAAAGAAAATGCTGACAAAGGTCTATCATAATCTATAAATATTAGCTTTAAATTCTTGGTTTCAGAAATATTTGGTAATGGGGTAGTATTTAAAATAGTAGATTTCGCTAAAATGCACATTGCTTACATAAGCTTATCTGGTTGACTTGTTCAGACATGCTCATCCTGCTAACTTGGAAGTGATTTTTAAAAAGATCGTCCAACTCAGAGAAAATATGCATGAGTCAGTAGTTCTTTGAGATGTGTTACTTGTGTTATTATTTAGGTTTAGACCAGTAATCCTGAAAATTGGGCATAGGTTCTGTGGATGCTCCTCCACGTGTCTCTGCTTGCTTCTCCCCAAAATACAGATTTTGTTGATGGGGAAATTAGGGCTTTGAATATGTTAATGTTTAATTTCTAAAATTTCTTTGTGCTTTTTAGTGCAAATTCGTATTTCCAAAAACACATATACATATTTGGACCAGCATATGTTTCACACATTAGAAACCTCAGTGTGGATAATTTTGATTTGATTTGGGAAAACCCAAGAGTTGGAGAAATAAGTTCTAGAATCTTTCAGAGAAGAGTTTTCTGATGAAGTGTAGTAGGAGGTTGGTATACTTTCCCCCACTGCCCTTGCCTGAAATAGGTGTTTGTGTTTATAATCTTGTGCAGAAACCACATCTGCCTTGCAGGATCATTCAGACTTGGCTTTAGACATTTGTTTAACTGAAGGTGGGACATAGGACCTTGCTTGTGCTAAGGTTTCAATGTTTTAAGCAAATTAAATTACTGATAAGACCATCAGACTTTTATAGTTTGGCTTTTAATTGTAACTTCTCTTTGGGGTTTATTAACGTAGATACGTTTCCTCAGGACTTGCAAAATGTGTATTTTTTTCTATATATAAAAATTTATTTTTTGTTAAATCTTTTTACTTTTTGTGACCTAAATGTTCAAATGAGTAAAATTCTTCAAATGTAACAGCCCCATAAGAAAACTCAAAAAAATGGAAAATGCTGTATAAATCTCCTCCTTGATATTTTTTATGTATTTGTAACATCATAGTTTATGTTGGTGGCTTTTGGGGCAAATTTTCTGTTGTTTTTGCTCTAGAGCAAAGATCTTGCACTATTGAGAATATGTTCTTTTTCCAGGGTTAGTGGTTTATATTAAAACAATGTTTTATATTAAAAGAATGGCTTTCTCAGCACTTTATGCTAAAGTGCAGGCTGGCAAGCTTTAATTTAAAAAAACATATGGAAGAGAAGTTCTGAAATGGTAAATTTTCAGCATTATAAATATACTTTGATGTGATGTGATCATTGATTGTTTTTGGCATATGGGAGCTGTTAGTATTATTTTTGAAGTAAATCAAAGAAGTCTTGTGGCATTAGACATTAGATTGAAACTTGGGCCTCTTAAGTCATTAGGATCACCAAGACTGCATGGAACTTTTCTGACTAACCCTAATTCTCACACACTAGAGCAACTTCAAGTGTGAGCTATTAGTTACAATGATTTTTTTTTTGACTGAAACCGAAATAAATGTGTGTTTATAAAAACATTAGAGTCCCCTCCTGGGAATGAAGGTAGAACTCAAAGGAAAGATGAGAGGAAAAGGGAAAGTGTTGGTTGCTTGGGTCTATAATCTCTGCTTGGGAGTGGAGGCTTCCCTTGGACCTATCAGGAGTGGTTCATTTCTGAGAAGTGGAAGCAGCAGTGAGGCTGCATGGATCTTTTAAGAGAATACCAAGAGCATACCATGTTGTCTTTGCTCCCTCCCTTCCAGAGAGGTAGGAGGCAGGGACTGAGACTTACAAGCTCTTCTTTTCATTGGAGTA